ACCTGATCGATACACCAGGTGATCACGGTCTGCTTTGGTTGCTCAGTCTTCTCCATGTTTCAGCTGCTCCACCAGACTCCATTCAAAAATCTGTTATTTTTAACTCAGAGTGTTTTAACACGGTTTGGAGTCGGAGGAGCGGCTCCTCACAGAGCCGCTGAGCGCTTCCTGATCACTGATTAATAATGAATATTGATTAACGTGCACACGGCTGTGACGTCAGTGAACACAACAGATTAAAATGCTGATTCTCACCATGTCTGCTGCGGAGTTTAGCCGTTAATCCAACAACCGAGCAGAAACCATCCAAACACACACGAACACAGCACGCACACTAACAGGAAACACGTCACCGGCTCCCCCACTGCATCCGGTTTTATGTCTGCACTACTGCCCCCTGCAGGACGAGCGGCCCGCCTACAACGACATGTAAGATAAAATAAAAATGTACACACAAATGTAGGAAATAAAATAGTTAATGTGAAAGCGTAGAACATTAATATTCATCTGCTGTATGACGGACGTGCACGCTGAACTCTCAAACTTATATGAGCTGTGTGAGATCTGATTGGACGGCCACAAACGCCAACAAATATTTCCCAAAATGTTTTGTTTGTTGTTTTAAATGTCAAACATTGTATAAGAAGACAAAACTGAAGCCTTTCACTGAACGAGCAAACAAACACACTGGTCCTCTGTCTGCACACACGTCAGAGCACTGCTGCCATCAGTGTGTTGGTATGTAACAACTGCAGTGTGACTCTGCACAGCCTCAGCATGTTTGTGCTCTCCGCTCAGAAAGAACTTATTTTAACATTTAGCTCAACAACAAACAAATTCTGCCTAAGAAGAATTACATTAGATTTCCTCATATCAATATATAATATATCTGATTTTATCTGTTTTGATTTTATATACTGTTTTGTTTGTTTGTTTGTTAATTAGTTTGTTTGTTTGCTTGTTTTAATCAATTTTAAATCATGCTTTTTATTTGTTTTTGTTTCTAATGTCTCTGTAAAGCACTTTGAATCACCTTGTTGTTGAATTGTGCTATACAAATAAACTTGCCTTGCCTTGCCTATATAAGTAGGGGTGACATGGGCCACAAGTGGCCACGAGTTTGACACCCCTGGCCCAGGTAAGTGAGAAGTCTGATCATGAACACCACAGAGGTCAGAGGTTAACGCTGGGATGTATTGTTGTACATCAGCAGTGAATGACATGTTCATGTACGACCTGTATTGAACTTTTAAAGATTCATTGTGTTTATTTATGTTTTATTTCCACACCGACTTTATTCTTTCACTGTACGCAGATCAAACTTCCTGTGTCCTTAATAAAACTGAGTCAGTCGTTCATTCGATGTAATCAGAGTAGTAACAATGATGACTGTTACTACACTGGGGCGATCGTGGCTCAAGAGTTGGCAGTTTGTCTTGCACTGGTTCGAACCCCGGCTCGGACAGTCTCGGTCATTGTGTCCTTGGGCAGGACACTTCGCCTACTGGTGATGGCCAGAGGGGCCGATGGCGTGATGCGGCAGCCTCGCTTCTGTCAGTCTGCCCCAGGGCAGCTGTGGCTACACCTGTAGCTGCCTCCACCAGTGTGTGACTGTGAGAGGGAATGAATAGTGGAATTGTAAAAGCGCTATTTAAATGTAATCCATTATTATTATGATGATGAGAGGAGGAGATTCTGGAGGTGTCTGACAGCGAGGAACTGAGCAGGTCGTCAGGGATCGCTCTGTCCAGCTGCTGCAGATGTTAATTAAACCATGAGGCTTTCAGGTGAGCTCTGGAGCTCGTTTCCTCTGATCTGATTGGTCGGTTCGTCTCCTGTGGGTCAGTGGTGCCTGTCTGAAGAAATAAGACAGCCACCGCAGGCTCCGCCCTCATCCTTCTTACCTTTTTATTGTCAGGTAGAACATACACCTTTACAACAGCTCACAGGTAAAATGTACAAAAATAAGATTTTTCTGGGGGTTTTGTCCAGACTTCCTGCGGCTTTTTTTCTTGGCGTACGATTCCTCGACCTGCACAAAAACGCACCTGTAAAACATCTGCTGCGACCTGTCCTGATTGGCTCGTTCATCCTGCGATATTATTGGGTGATTGCTGGAGGTGGGGACAATCATTTTATATGGTCCAAAAACAAAAATGAAGTTGGCAAGATACAAACTTCCATGGCCCTGTTAGCCCCACCCAAAGGGCAGAGGGGAGGGGCCTAATTTGGCCTTCATACATCACTCTCTCAGGTCTAAAAAAGCTCTGTACATCGTAACACAGCTACCAAACTAAAACACAGAAGAACAAATGGGTTTTGTAGCCCGCCCCCTCCTCCTCCCTCCGTCTGCTCTGACTGGCTGTTACGAGGCTGACCAACAGGCCTCTAGACCAATGACAAGAGGAGGATCAGAGGGCACGAACAGAGAATAAAAGAAGAGGTTTGGGAGCGTAGGGTCAGGGGTCAGAGGCCAGCTAGGGGGTGGCTTCAATGGTGCACTCTTTCGCCAGGTGACCTGACTTCCCACAGTTATAGCAGTTCAACTCGGACGCCTTGCTGCAGTGCACCGCAACATGGCCGATCTCCCCGCACCTGCAGAGCACACGGACAGGTTACGCTGGACCGTTCACGTGTGTTTGTAGGCTCAGCTTTAGTATTAGTTTACCTGTAGCACTTGACCTTCTCACAGCACTTCTGGATGTGTCCGAAGCTGCCGCAGGAGTAGCACTTTTGCTCGTGGGCGTGGTTACAATCGCGCGCCATGTGACCGGCCTTGCCGCAGTTATAGCACAGCTGCTCGCGCTCCTTCTTGGGCTCCTTGCAGTCTCTGGAGATGTGACCTCCTCTGCCGCAGTTGTAGCAGGCTGCAGGAAAGATCACACCTGTGCTCACCTGTCTTTAAACTGTTGTGATCTGTAAGCGTGTGTCCTCACCGTCCTCTGTGCGCTCGCAGTCTCTGGCCACGTGCCCAAGTTCGCCACATCGGTAACAGAACAGGTCTGCAACGACACGACAGGGGTGAACCCCCGGGTGTGTCACGTAGTCAGCTGTTCACAATAACAGCACCAATGCAGAAGCTGGAAATGGAAACAGGTTTCCACGTCTCCATGGCGACATCTGTAAAAACTACAGGCTTTTTAATAAACTTTAAAATAAACTCATGGAGGTTTGATGATGGGTGTCACCTTTGCCTCTGCTGCGTCCTTTCCCTCGCCCTCGGCCGCCACTCGGACAGTTCTTCACCCAGTGGCCTGAGCGGCCGCAACCAAAACACTCGTTACTGCTCATCGTCACGACCACGGCTGAAACCACAGACAGGAGATTCAGATGTGAAACTTTACCTTCATGAAGGTGCAGAATAAAAACCACGGAGGAAAAGGAAAAACACACCAGGAACACCTGAGATGATTCTCCTCAGTCCTGGGCCCACCCACACAGGTAGAGTTTACAATAATTGATCACACAGCAGTGAGGAATAAATTTGAACACAGCAGGTGTCTTTCTGAAAGTGCTGTAACTAGATTAAGGATTTAATTCCAGGACTGTTTAATGTTAACTAGTAATGACTTCATGAATAACATTTTAGGCATTAGAGAGAAAAAAAGACTCATAATCATCCCACAGATGTAACATTATCTACAGCTACTCTTAGTACCATTGATGTTAAGTTAGACTCTTTTTCTCCAACTGATCTTTCTGAGTTAACTTCAATAATTACTTCCTCAAA